GTGTTATAGATGCATTAAAGAGTATAAGGGATGCGTTTGGTCAATCTGAGGGAGCTGGATGGTAGCAAATACTTGGCTACAAAATCAGTTAGGACCAGTGGGAGCAGAGGTGGTTCAGATTTTGGTAGCAGCCTTTGTAGCGCTGTGTTTGATGTTTTGCTTTTGTACGGTGCTATTGACTTTTGCGAAAGCTATGATATTGAGATGGGTTGGAGTGGTAATGCCTGGGGAGAACACTCAGATGCCTTTGTTAACTACGGCTGATTTAGATGGAGATGATGAAGGGGAACCAGATGAAGTAATGATGGAAAGATATCCATTTTAATGTTACTTTGTATTTTCATACATTGAGGTTTTAATTTTCATGTGTTATTTGCAACAGATACTGGTTGGTGTTTTCTTTTCTTCCAGAGTATATGGGGATTTACAGATGGGGATTTAAATACTCAAACAAGGACAGTATGAATGGACTCTGGACAAGGACGGTGTGGAAACGTCTGGATTGCATCGACACTGCTGAGGAGCTGCAGTGGAATACCTTCCTATGTCTACTTTGATATAGATATGAATACATATGTGAATGAATAATACTTAATTAACAATTATATTCTTTTTGTGTTAACTGTGTAAAGACTTGTACTTTCACTTAGGGAGTTAATATTTGGGGACCTCAGGTTTTTTCTTTTTCTTGATGCTTAGGGATATAGGGTCTAGGCAGGGAAAGGTCCGTTGGAGGGTCCGATGGGTTGACCAGCCTGAATTCGGACATGTTTTGATTTGTTTAATTTCCTGAGGTTTTCACATGTATTGGCTTAACCGTATTTCTGTATTGACTGATAAAGATGTCGTTCATTAATTGGACTGGAGTACCATGCGTGGCCGCCTAAGGCAGAGGGGCCGTGAGAAAATTTTCCTGTCTAGATTGTCTTGGAGGGAATTTGGAATGAAGGCTGCCGGACAGGTTTTTCGTTCTCACACTCCATAAAGTTGATATGTTGTTAAAAATAATATGCTAGAAGTGTGTGTTGGAGAAATTCTCTCTTTTTGTTTTTCGAGACTCAATTAAGTCTCGTAGGGGGGAATATGTGGTGTATAACATATGCTTTTGACATTACAGTTTAATATAATGCTCTGCAGCTGGTGAAAGGAACAGTGAACCCTTAAGGGGAAGTAATGATTGATGGGTGAACCAAGAGTGAACCCTCCTATAGAATTTGACCCCTGACCCAGAGCTGGAGAGAGACACAGTGTTAGGGGAAGTGGTGTCTAACAGATGGTTACACTTATTCTACAGCACTGTGCCCTTATATGGTTTTTAGCAGAGACCTAAACATGTCCTATATAAGCTGTGTTCGATGTACAGAGAGACAGAGTGGTTATCGGGCTGGGTCACTCTCCAAGCTGCTGCAGAGCTTGTAATTGATGCTGAATTCTTTGATGTAATAAACTTTTATAATCAAGAACAGTGTCAAGCGGATTTCTTCTCAACACATCATCGCAGCATTATCGTTCGGACACCACATGATACCACAGACATTATATTTGTTTGGGCCTTGTGTGAAGTTATTATAGCCATATATTGTGACAAATGACACAGCAGCAGCAGCAGCAGGTGCGCTTGCCATTGTGTTGTTGCGCACACCAGATGCATAAGGTTACGCATGATAATGAGGGAAGGGAATGACATTCGGCACATCAGACATATCCATACCATTACACTGGGTTTGAGAGGCGGTTTTGCTCTTAACTGTTTTTAAAATACATTAAAGGAAACTTTACTTGTCTGATTTATTTTTTTCATATTGCATTGCTATAGCCTGTTAAAAGTGATAATATACCATACAACTAATCAATGCTGATACTGTCTGCTGCTAGATAAATGAGTGATGAAAATACATGCAGTACATTAGATATACTTATGCAGTGCTCTAAGCAGACTTGAATGACTTATTTTGACCAGCAAGAGCTGGTGATTGTTCGACTAACAACCCTCATTACAACCACAAGAAACTTGAGACTTGACTTGGACTTGCAAAAAATTGCTTGTGTGCATCTCCGGTCTTGGTCTTCACTTTTCGCACACCATAAGCTGTATCCTTCACTGGCACTGACCATTGGTTAGTGGAAATAAATTTTGAACTGCATAATCGGCCGATTAATGTATTTCTTAGGGAGACTGGGCTTCGTACTAATTTTTCTAAAGAATGCTGACACCATAGAGAAAATGGACAGGAGGAAATTAGATGACATTAATTAAAAGAAATAAAAAAATGGGTAGGGGTTGCCAGCAGTGACACTACTTTACCTGATCATACAGCTTAAAAGGATCCCGTGTGTGTGTGTGTGTGTGTGTGTGTGTGTGTGTGTGTGAAATGACCAACATTTGGGGGCCATCCTGTAGAGATAGCTTGGAGCAGACAGAGCCAGGATAAGAGCACTACTAACTGGGATTGTATTCCTGTAGGTGTGTGATAATGGATGAGGTCCAGGGAAAGGAGAAGCTGAAATATCCTGCCAGGGCATGGGGTTTACGTGCGATAAACGAAAATGAAGTGTGCATGTGTGATTGTGGGAGATGTAGTGGAAAAGGTAAATGTGTGCATGCACGTATGTATAAGTGCTTGTGTCTGTGTTTTAATGTAGAGGTGGTGGTGCTTTGAATTGTTTTAAATAGGGAACTCTGTCTTTATTAATATTTAACAAGCTCCTTCTTTTCCAACTTTTGTTAAATGTACAAAAATTAAAACTTTATGAGCGTTTCATGCATGAGAAGTTTGCTAATAATAAATAAGTTAAATGTGAACATCATGTTGCCTGCTGTTTTACTTTTAAGAGAAGAAACTTCTGAGTTAAACATTAGGATTTGAGAGAACAAAGGAAGACTTGTCATCTCATGCCTTTCTCTTCATCTAATGTCTTCAAGCAGTGGTGGCTCCAGGATCTTTTCAATGGGGTGCAAATACACTTTTGTATATATAGCAGTACATTTAAATTAAAGTGCACAATACACTACTTTAGAATTCATTATTCAGTTTTGCGCATAACTACGCGATTACCGTAAAACTTAAATTTATTGCCGAATCCCAAATAGCCGCCTACCCCGTTTACTGGCCTGGTGTCATTAGGTCTCCATTAAACGGTCTGGTTTTTATAGAAGTTCTTTTGGATGTATAAAACCTCTTAAACCCAGCAGGGTTGCCTGCTTTGCTGCATCTAAGCTGCTTAGATCATTAATACAAACACTAATGTTTAAACGTATAATCAATATGTCAGTATGGACATGCAACACATCGTTAGGTCGGTTAGATTCTCCACAATTCAATCGTTCAGTTCATTTAACAAAATAAGCCCCAAACTCGTTGAGTCCGTATGTGTCCATTCCTTGATTATTTATATTCCTTCAGTCTGTAAGGGTCCACCGATCAAAAGAATCAAAACAGCTTTTCATAAGAATGAAACCAAGTTGTTGAATCCTGTCATGTGAAGTCGATCTCTCTCTGTCTGCTAACTTCTGCCACACTTCTCTCATCCTGCACCCTGTTGTGGTTTTCATTACGTTGCTGCCTTCAAAATAAAAGCACATAAGCTGTCTGTCTGAGCTAGATCAAATGAATGACGTGTATTTGATATTATTGGATAATTTTTATCAAGTAATATTCTGTTTGAAATCAATGAACTATTTCATAGTAGCCTATTTCAATTTTGTGAAAGAGGAATTAAAGGCCTCTCCCATACTGACGCCTGTCCCAAATAAAGGCACAGTCAATTCAGTGATTTTAGCAAATAAAAACCCGGGCTATTAATCAAAGTTTTACAGTATTTGCAGAAAATTATGCTGTTAACTGCGATTAAATTATTAAATCGCTGCCCAGTACTCATTTTTTTTCCTACAAAATTCCACAAATAAATAAAAGGGAAGTGGAAATGTAACGTGACGCACAAATTTACAGGAAGTGATCCACAAATTTTGTAAAACCTGTTTCACATGTACAAATCACTCTCAATCTATTTTTGTGAATATTATTTTACACAACACAAATGGAAAATACATATGTATTGTGGATAGTGAAATATTTATGGATCATGGTGCAAATATATGGACTGTCGCACTGTGGGTTACAACTAATAAAGATTGGCAAAACATATTGTGTGATTCCATTTAATGACAGCACACACACTTGTAGGCACACAGTATACATATTTGCACAAACACACACACACACACACACACACACACACACACACACACACACACACACACACAGGAACTCATACTTAGGAAAGTGGAGACAGCTTTGAGCAAAAATTGCTAATGTGAACAGCATGAGCCCAGTGTAAATCAAGCAGCTGTATTTGAGATGGTTCTTCACATGGTGTCGATCTGCATGCCTCTGTTACATCTCCGCCTCCCAAGCTCCCAAAAAGCATGCAGGTCAAATAGCTGGGTTGGTTGCATATTTCCCAAAACATTAAAGTTTCCTTTCCTTCGTATTCCTTTCTAGCTATGTTAGTAAGTGACTGCCTCTGTTTGTATGCTGCCATCACTGCAACAACCCCAGACATTGATCAGCTAATGAGAGCCAGGAGAGACCGTGATATAGATGCATGAAAGCCACCCTCATTATCATAAATTAATAAAAACATGTTTTAAACAAGTTATCATATAACAGTAATCATTTGTCACCCATTTCAAAATGAAGATATGTGTTAGTTGCAGTCAGTATTGTGGTTTAGATAGTAATGTGCCATGACCCCCCTGCCGTGACTCCTGAGAGTGTCACATGCATATGTCTACGCCTCTCTTACGTCCTCATATACTGTATATACAGTACAATGGTGAGACCTGGCCATTGGCTCCCTTTTTTCTTTTGCACTGAGCTGTTTAAAGCGCAGAAGACCACCAGCTACCACCGAAGTCTTCTAGCAAGTCGGCCAGTGCGGGGTGGGACGCCGCTACATCCGTCCGGTGTGTGGCATCTTGGACACGGGCTTCGTCCTACCACGGGACCTGCATCCACGCTGTTCAATCTCCCCCATGTTGCGCCATCGTGGTTGCGCGTATGCCACCACGAATGCTGCGGGGGACTGGGTGGTTTATCATGTTTGCTCTGGTCTGGTGGGTCTGTGCTTGGTGGTAGCGCATGGCCCAGTGAGGCGTTGACCTCCTGCTTCGCCTCTAATTCAATACCGATAGCCTTAGAGGGCGAAGCCTATACAACGTAGAATGGTGGTTACGCATTGTAACTCCAGATTCTATGAGTATAAGTGCAGCCCTCTAACTTGTGGGCCTCACTGGACCTGTTGTTCTCAGTGCTGAAGAAAAGGCACTATGTGAGCCCAAAGCTCGGTCTCACCGTTCTGTATACATACAAGTTGTGGACATAGGAGAGGACATAGGAGAGGCCCACACTGTGGGTGGGCATAGACAAAATTTATCAGTGCAACGCATGTGGCTTTTCCTTTTGGGTGAATGTGGCATGCTCGATGTGTTTTAGTATTGTCTGTCTCTCTCTCTATGGGCCTTTCTGAAAGTTCTCGCTACTCCCTCCCCTACCTACTTCCACTCCATTTGCACATTCACGTGGTGGAACCGCCACGTTGAGCGCTGTCTGAAACCAATTAGTGTGGAGTGATAGTGGGTTATAATACCCTCCCATGCCAAATGAGAACTGATGTTGGACTTGCTGCACGATGAAGGACCCTTTCAAATGTGAGTTCCATGGGACACCATACGCCTGTAAACTTTACAGTAAATTCCAAAACTACACTAACATTTCTCTATCATTAGGTAAAAAATTTTGCCTAAAGGTTATATTGTTTAAAAATGCTATTGTCTGATAGACAATTTTTTTATTGAATCGAATTTATCTTATACGAAACTCTAAACAATAGTAGCCTACATAAAACGCTAGACAAAATTGTCAGCCCTTTTAAAATTACAGTTAACGCAAGCAATAGTAATGGTGGTAGTGGTACAGATTATACAATAGTACCAATAATGATTCAATAATAATAATAATAATAATAATAATAGGACTAATAATTCTAATTGTAGCAGTAGGTATCGAGGCCCTGCGATGGATTGGCGACCTGTCCAGGGTGTGCCCCGCCTTTCGCCCGATGTCAGCTGGGATTGGCTGGGATAAGCAGTTGACGATGGATGGATGGCAGCAGGTATCGAGCAGGAACATGGGGGCAGTAGGTGTCTTGCAACCACAGCTCCAGACTCTACAGCTCTGAAGGTAGAAACAACTGCAGAAAGTGACAGAAGGAGAGAGGAGAGGAATGGACAAGAAAGCACAAAAGCTCATGGTGTTACTGGTAATAGACATTCAAGAGTCCAGCTGAGACTGAGCACCTTCTCTCTCACTCCATCTCCCTCTGTTTTAAATGCCACTTGCAAATTCTTCACAGGGTGACTTAAAAATCAATTTCCCACTTCACGTCCTTGTTCCCAGTCCATTCGTCTTGCCAGGATTCCTGTGTTTTGCGTATCGATTTGCTGCTGCCTGCTGTGATGCTCCAAACCAGAAGAGATCTTGAGAGTAGGGAAGGCCGGTAATGGAGTCATCGCCCCCTCGTTATCCCTGGTGTCTGAACAGGACAGGAGGCAGCCGCGACTCCTATATGACCTTCACCTACTCTCCCAAAACAGCCTGTCCTGTTGGCATTCCGTGTGAATGAATTGTACACTGAGGGATCTTGACTGCTTTGTTACCCTGTCACTCTTTACTGACAAAAGACAAAATGTCATTCACAATTGTCAAACAGTGCATCAGAAAGATGACTTAGGAACAGAAGAGGCAAAATAACTTACATGATGCACTGTTCACATGAGGACTGAGCCATATCTCAATTGAAGGAAAACTGCATGCAATGCATCCTTTAAAAATGCATAAAAATAATAAAGTAGCACTGCTTTAAAATGCATAAAATAATCCTATTTTCATGTAATAATCCATGCCTTGTATTATATGAATTACCACACAGACTTCATTTAAAGACAAAACTGTGTCCCAAGTTGAGCGGTTGTAACCCTGAGCTGTTTATTTTTATTTCATTTAGTGTTTAGATGACGAAATGCATGAAACATTGCTTTATAAAGAATACAAAGTAGATGCCATGCATACAGGTTTCTAGCCATGACTAATTTGCAACCCCTGTCCCTGAGTTTAAAATGTTACAACCATTAAATACATATAATAAATACATCCTGAAAGAAGATACGGGCCTAAATAGAAGTAGAAATAGAACATTTTTAACAATATTTAATAATACAAGAACACAAAATAAGAAGTGTGCATATGTCTGTGCATGCACACACAAGCAACCTTATGTTTGTGTATTGTATTGGATCCTGTACAGTCAATGGTCACAGAGTTGTTTCAGTTTCACCCATTGCTTTAAATGTATATTAAAAATCTTGAGTTCTGTCAGTATTGTAATTTCGGGTGGTAAAGCATTCCACAAATGTATGCCTCTTCCTGAAAACTATGTCTTTTTATATTATTTTTTCATGCTCTTATCTTGTTTTTTTGTATTATTCTTTACACTTGTTAAAGCACTTTGTAACTTGTTTTTGAAAAGTGCTCTACAAATAAGGATTATTATTATTATATATTATCTGACCAAATGCTGCTTTACATTTTGCTGCCTCTAGTTCGTATTCTGCTATTTTGTTTCTCTACTAGTTGACAGAGCATTTCTGGTGCAAGGTTGTTCACACACTTGAATGAAAGATTTAAATTTACAAAACTGTCAAAACTCAATATATTATGTTTCCGTAGAATGAGGCAGTGGTGCCATCTTACAGATTACTGATTTCCATTATTTTTGTGCCTGTTTATACAGTATAATGATCTAATGGGTGTAATTGTTGTTTGTTTTGAATTCATGTACCTCATCTATCTCCTTCTCGTCAATCTTTATTCTACCCCACTTCATTGCCTTCATATAATGACTCTCGTCTAATGATAACTCTGTTGAGTGCCGTGTTCTAAACCCCAATTTTTGAGGTGTAGGAGATGATTACTTTTAAGATAATCAACAAGTTGTTTGGAAACTGTTTTTTCGGGAACCTTTGAGAGTGCAGGTAAAACTTAATTGGTCTATAATTCGAGACCTGGTCAGATGCTCCAGACTTAGGGACTGGAGTTATAATAGCCATTTTCCAGTGCTGAAGAAATTCATTAGAAATGTGTATCTGGCATTAAGAGGAGAGAGCTGTGTTTTTTAATAAAAGCGGTATCCAAGCCAAAATAATCCTTGGCCTTAGATTGCCGTAACTGCCTAAAAACTTCAGCAGTCTCACTTTGGTCTACGCCTTTTATACAAGACTGGCAGCCAATTCCTCAGTTGATTGGATAAAGAATCTATTAAATTGGTTTGGAATTTCAGTCCTTTCATTAATGACTATTCCATTTATGTCTATGAAGATTCTCAGTCATCCAGGTCATAGTTATCCAACGAAGGTTAAAATCAAGGGCAACTGGACTTGGTTGAAGATACTGGAAGACGTTTCGTCCCTCATCCAAAGGACTTCTTCAGTTCTGACTGACTGGCAGGGAAACTCAGCTATTTAACCTCAGTGGGGTCGTTGGCCCGGGTCATCGATACCGCTGTTTTCGTTAGTGTTCCTTGTTGCTGTGACGACTGTCGTTACAGTCGTTAAGACTACCTGTGGCCAAGACTGAACGACCATCGTTGGTATCTTCACCTGAGGCCAATAGGTTACGTTTGTTGAGTTTCCTGGGAAGTGATGAAAGGACAGCATTGTAAGTGGGGGATAAGTGGTGGCGTAGACCCCCTCCCCTGTTCAATGACGGCTTCTCAAACCCTGGTGTAGATGCTTCCTTGACACCTCTTTCAAACCATCCATCTTCTCTGTCTAAAATGTGCACCTGGTGGTCCTCAAACGAGTGTCCTCTGTCCTTCAGATGTAAGTAGACTGCAGAGTCTTGACCTGAGGAGTTGGCCCTTCTGTGTTGAGCCATGCGTTTGTGTAGTGGCTGTTTAGTCTCCCCAATATACAGGTCTGTGCATTCCTCACTGCATTGGACTGCATACACTAGATTGCTTTTCTTGTGTTTGGGTGTGCGGTCTTTGGGGTGGACCAGCATCTGTCTTAGTGTGTTCTTGGGTTTCCCTGTGTTTTTTTAAACCCAAGAACACATTTTATGGTTGAAATGTCTTTTATATATATCCACTCAATCCCAGCTGGCATCGAGGGGGGCGGGGTACACCCTGGACAGGTCACCAGTCCATGACATGGCACACAGACACGAACAACCACTCACAATCACATTCACACCTAAGGGCAATGTAGAGTCACCCATTAACGTAGCCTGCATGTCTTTGGATGGTGGGAGGAAGCTGGAGCACCCGGAGAGAACCCACGCAGACACGGGGAGAACATGCAAACTCCACACAGAAAGGCACACAAAGTCTAAGGTTGACTTGGGACTTACTTCTGACTTTAAATGTAATTTAACTGAAAAAAAGTAAGAATTAAGTTATAAAGCTGGGGTTGGCAAATTATTTCAGAAGGATTTTTGTTGTAATTCTCTTTACATCCCGGCAGCAATCAATACATCAAATCTACTAGGATTTTTTCTTTAAATCCAGTATCTGTGGCTGTCGCAGGCCTGTAAGGGTGCATTCCATTTGACATGGGTTCAAACTCGGAAATAGATGGCAAAGATGGCTGCTCTGTGTTCACAGTTAGTGAAAGCTGTAGTTTAAACTGTTTATTAGCACTTCTGTGTATTTGTGTCTCATAGAAATGTTTGTACACAAAGTGCTGTCCAGCTGCTGTCAGTGGACGTGTTGCTACAGTGTTCAGTATGAGTAAATACCACACAATGCAATTTCTTTTATCAACTTGAGTAACAATAGCTAACCTGGCTAGTTGTGAACAATGGCTGGATGTCAGCGACAAAACCAAGCTGCAGCCTACGTCGCCATGGTTACGTAAGATTAGTTACGTGATATAACTTAACCTGTGTAACCACGGGCTTTCATTGGTACCAATGGTCATGTTATTTTCTCCAACGGCCGTTGTTTTGGCAGTCATTGTAAAACAACCTATTATGTTGCTTAGGTATGAGGGAGTGTTGCACAATGAGTGAACAGTGAAGACCATAGACATTTAGACTGCAGTGAAGCTATGACAACACTGAAGTGTGCTGTCATAGTGTGAAGTGAAGTGTAATTAAAGGATGGACGGACAGACAGCTACAGTGAGACGCTGATAAGGCTCCACACACACACTCACCCAGGAGACCCCTTAGTGACACTGCCATCCCATACACCTGCAGGGAGACAGCAGCTACCTCCATTTATACTCATTCTGTACAGTAAAAGGAGTTCCATGTATCCATGCCATGCATATGCTGGGATGTTAGTCAATGTTACCATGAAATGAAACATGACATGTATCTCAATGAGGAAGCATGTTGCTTGACAGCCGCAAACCTCAACATCTGTTACTCTTTCTTTGAGTTAGACAATACAGTACTATTAAAACATGATAAAAGTGATTGCTGAACTAAGGGAGGAAAGGTAAATATAATTTGCCCTCCTCGCCAGTCTATTCTTGATTTTTTCACTCATGCAAGTTATGCATACATATTTTTTTTTTTTGTGGTGGTGCAGTGGTTAGCACTGTCGCCTCACAGTAAGAAGGTTGTGGGTTCAAACCCTGTTTGCCCGGCCTTTCAGTGTGGAGTTTCCACATGGGTT